CTTCCTTTCTCTTCACTTCTTTCCTCAGCTCAGAGATGGCATCTGTAACATTATGCGCAATAGAGACATGGAAGCTGTACGTGACAGCCATCTTGTTAAGGTCTCAGCCATTTTCTTTTTCATGAACGATCATCTTCTCCCTCCCCTCTTCACTCCTCTTGAAAATGGAATTTGTGGCTGTAAGTTGTAACAAACTTCAAAAGAGCCTCTTATCTTAAATAAAACACAAATAGAGGCCAGCTCCAGAGCTGTAAATCGCTAATTAGTCTTGGCAGGATGTCTATTTCTCAAATACACTTTCCTCTGCCCTATCTTAAAGCAATAACTCAGTCCAGCCATCACACATGACCTGTTAGGCCATTAGAGCTCTAGGAATGTAGAGTGTGCCATAAAAAGTGTATTCCACATGTAACAATTCATAAGATTCAACAGTGACTGGGCACAATTATTATTAGGGATATATTTAAATAGGGCATTTCATGCCAAGCCAAACAAGGTCCTACATGACTATGTTAGCACATAGGAAAGGGAAGAAAGCAGTCTCTTCCCTCCTGGGTGACAAAGGTACTCTGTGTTTGGTATCCCTGGGTTTGCAATATAATTCTGAATATTAATTTACCAGTTGCTAGAATACCACCTGCACATACTGGAAGTTATTAATATTAGTATGAAATTGTAGTTGGGACTTGGTCATAAACTTGATGACCTCCTAGCACCCATCCCCTAAACCGGATGATTGGTCAGTTGTTCTCAGGCTACACCCCTTTAATATCATAGGAAAGGACTGATAGGCCTGGTGAGGGGAGCTCTCATTTAACATCAATCAAGAAACATCTTAACGAACTTGAGAGTCAAGGCAACATTTTTGCTTGGAAAATTGGATTCTGCTAAACCAGGACTTTGCAAGCATTCTGCCTTCTTAACTACTTTCTTTTATTTCTCTGCTGCTTTATTGTTTCCTTTATGTCTTTGTAACATCTTTTTCTGTAAATATTTTAATTGCACCATGTTGACCTTTTTAGTAATAAACCCTATTTTGAAAAGTGTTGAAACTGTCTCTAAAGCTTTTAATGCAAACTAAAGAATCCCTGTCTTTTGAAGAGTGCTACTGTATACAAAAATCCTCTGAATATACCTGTCTGTGGTGACAGTGTGTGTTGCAGACACTTATGCTAAAATCATAGTGTTATTGCTAGGATTTGTGAGTTTCCGCTTTCTCTGTAAAAAGACAGTGGTGGCAGTGTGAAGGGGTAATTGCATAATTAACCTAATCCAGTGACAATCGCTCTCAGGCTACTGGCACACAGATTGTGGTCCTGCGACCTGGAAAATATTTGTGTAGGGTACAGCTGAGAGTGGCATTGTTACGCAAGTGGCAGCGCGGCGAGATTGGCTGATCCTTTGTCACGAGTTGGTGAGAAGGACAGGGGTCAGGCACTGCGTTCCATCACAGCATCTATGTCTACCCTGCTGAATCTCTGCTCTGATAATGTTAACGGTCTCAACAACCAATGCAAACAGGGTCAAATTCTATACTCTCTTCATAAAGCTAATGTGGACATTGTGCTTTTCCAAGAGACCCATTTTTGCTCAGATGGCATTCCATCTTGCCTCCAGAAATTACTACTGATGATGGTTCCATAGTGTGATTCCCTCTTCCAAGACTAGAGGGGTTTCCATTGCTATCTACAAACACCTGCCTATCCACTCCATAGAACATGTGGCCGACCCTAACGTTCGTTACCTATTTTTGAAATTCCAGCTTTACACTGTGGCCACTTTAATAAGCTTTACACTGTGGCCACTTTATACATTCATAACCAGGGCCAAGTCTCTTCAATGTTCCCCTATTTACACCTCTTGGCCAAATTTGCAGAGGGTAAGGTTCTCGTAGGAGGAGATTTCAACCTAGCCCTCAAACCCCATCTTGACTCCTCATCTCAACGCTCTTCTCTGTCCTACAGTTGTCTTCGGTTACTTAAGGAACAGTTCCATGACCATTGTTTGCTTGACTTTCGGAGGGTTCTATATCACACTGCCCGTAATTATACCTTCGATTCATCAGAGCACCAGTCATATAGTCGGCTTGACTATTTCCTGGCTAGCACCCATGTCCTTGAATAGTCTCCATCCGTTGACATTGGGTCACTCATTTGGTCCAGCCACTCACCTTTCTTTCTCACCTGTTATCCTCCCCAGGCCTGATCTGATTGTACTTGTCACCTAAAGGACAACCTTCTTGCAATTGGCTATCTGAAATATTACATCTGACCACGCCACAAATGACACCCAGCTGCCTTCACAATAGAAGGCTCACAAGGCTGTGTTGCATGGGGTGTTTATCCAACACAGTACGAGACTCAAGAAGGAATGCTTGGAGGGCATCCAAAAAGCACTGACACTGAAGACTCAACATGAATATTCAACTTCACAGGAACATTTGGCAGATATCTCTGCTGCTAGGATATCCTTGCTGCATTTTTACAATGCTTCTTACAGTACCTACCAGGGTCATTTAGCCTTTAGTAGATACTGGTTTGGAAACAAATGCAGTTGACCATTGGCCCATTCACCCCACCCTGGCTGCCTCGTAGCCTTTTAAACCCAGTATTAAAACCCCTTCGGGTGACGTAACCTCAACCCCTTCTCGGTTGTATGAGACCTTCCAAAATTATTTCCAAGCTTTGTACAATTTAACTTCTTCCAGTTCGGGAGTTCCCTCTTCATCTTTCACAGATCATATGCGGTACTATTGGATGCAAAATTGGACGCAACATTGGATGCAAACAATAGGGACCTTTTAAAGCCCCTTTTCCATGGAGGAACTCCTTGCAGCTATTTCGGGTACTCCTACGGGTACATGCCCAGGTTCCAACAGCCTTTCCCCAAAGTTTTACAAGACCTTCAGGGATGTTTTAGCTCCCTTCTTTTCACTTTCAATAGATTTTTATTGAAATAAGTTATAAAAACATACATTGGTTACCACTCCCCAGGATGGCTAGGATGAGGCTAACAGTGGTGATAGTCAACAGTGACACTGGAAGCATCAGTGGTGTCACTGAAATGAAAGAATATCCCTGCATCTGTGGTGTCACGGGATGGATATAAATGTCCCTTACATCAATGCCCCCCCTTACATTAGTGTCTCCTTACATCAATATCCACCTTTAATCAGTGTCCCCGATTACTTTAGAATCCTGCAATCATCAGAGCCCCCCAAATATCAATATGACCCGTTTACATCAGTGTTCCTCCCTCCTTATATCAGTGTGCCCTCCTTTCTTACCTCATTGTGCTACCCTTTACATCAATATACCCCCCTAAATCAGTGTGCTCTCCCTTTACATCGGTGTACCCCCATTACTTGAATGTGTCCCCCTACCTTAGGGAGCTTGGTTGTAGCAGCACAGCTGGAGCTGGGAGACGGAGCAAGTATGAATGGAGAAGTTCTGTCCTCTTCTGGGAACTGGACATTTTGGACAATTTCATGCTCCCAACTCTATGGGAACAGTCTGGATATGGCCCTTTCCTGTTCAAACATGACTTTGCACCAGTTCATAAAGAAAGGTCCATAAAGACATGGATGAGCGAGTTTAGGGTCGAGGAACTTGACTGGTGTGCAACAGTTCTAACCTCAACCCGACAGAACACCTTTGGGATGAATTAGAGCAGAGACTGCGAGCCAGACCTTCTCATTTGACATCAGTGCCGGACCTCACAAATGCGCTTCTGGATGAATGATCAAAAATTCCCCTAGACACACCCCTAAACCTTGTGGACAGCCTTCCCAGAAGAGTTGAAGCTGTCATAGCTGCAAAGGGTGGGCCAACTCATTATTGAACCCTACAGACTAAGACCGGGATGCCATTATATTCATATGCGTGTAAACTCAGGCGTCCCAATACTTTTAGCAATATAGCATATGTGATGCACGTCTATAACATTTTTCCAGCTTTAGTCATCTAAATAATATTTTTTTTATTTCCAGATGTCCTTGCTTTCTTCCTCTCCCTATCCAAGAAATGCTTAAAATGCATGCTACAAATCTGTGGTATTTTTTATTTTAAGAAATAAATTATATTCTATTGAGGATTGTTTAAAAAAAAAAGTGTGGCCTTTTTTTTTTTTTTTTGCAGCAACCCTGTCTCAGATAAGGTTACCATCAAGTTTCTTGGCTAAAATACTGGCATTATACCAAATGCCAATGGCTAGAGTAAAAGTTAATGGGTTGTTATCAAATCAAATAATTATAGGAAATGCTATGAGACAGGAGTGTCCCCTTTCACCTATCCTGTATTATTTGGCAATGGAACATCCAGCCAATGCCATTAAAAAGAACCCCTTGATACAAGGCATTGAAATAAGTAACTTTGTATGTAAAATGTGCCTCTTTGCTGATGACCTATTGTTACTTGTTTCATACCCCTGCACTGCTTTTCCAGCATTGTTAAAATAACTTAATGCCTTCTCTTTGGTTAGTAACTTTAAGGTGTATATACACATAAAACAGAGGCATTGGATTTGTCACTAATGGAAGGGAGGTAAATGTCTTAAACATTTTTCATTTTGTTGGCAAGAGAAAACTTTGAAATACTTGGGTGTCTATTTAACTAAGATAAACAAAATACCATGTGGACTGTTTTGTTTGTTTTTGTGTTATTGGTTCACAAATTAGGACTGCAGCGTATACTTATCAAAGTTGCATGAATATTTATTCCTAAGCGCAACGGCACTATATTTATTTATTTAACTAAGATGGCAGAAAATAAAACAATAGCTGAGATTACAACTAGAGATGAGCGAAGTATTCAAAAATTCGATTCCACTGATTCGGCGAATTCGTGAAAAAATTTCGATTCGATGCGAATATATTCGCTGCGAATTTAACTTATAAAAGGGTGTTTCTAGGCTTCAGAGAGCCTTTATATTAGTGCAGAACACTGTACCTTTAATTTAAATACCCTTGGAGTCTGCTGGGGAAGAAAAATAATACTGTCAGTCAGTATGACATGCAGATGAGTGCCGTCGATCTTAGAATCACCGCACACTTCACTCATTTGGGCAGTCACGGGGCCAAAACCAGAGTGTGGAGCCACAGTGTGGCGGTGGAGGTAGCAGCAATGGGAGGCCATACAGCACCCTATGACAAAATGGAACCCACCAGCAGTGTGAGGAGACCTGAAAGTGGCACATGGCAGAGTGTGGCGATGGAGACAGCAGCAATGGGAGGCTGTACAGGGACCCATGAGAGACTCTGGACCTGGCAGCAGCATGAGGAGGCGGTACTGGGGCCCATGGCAGATTAGGGGCCTGGCAGCAGCAATGGGAGGCCCGTAATCTGCCAGCACCCTATGACAAAAAATGTAACACACCAGCAGTGTGAGGAGACCTGAAAGTGGCACATGGCAGAGTGTGGCAATGGAGACAGCAGCAATGGGAGGCGGTTCAGGGACCCATGAGACACTGTGGACCTGGCAGCAGCATGAGGAGGCGGTACAGGGGCCCATGGCAGATTAAGGCCTGGCAGCAGCAATGGGAGGCCCGTAATCTGCCAGCACCCTATGACAAAATGGAACCCTGGGCTGGGGCAGGCAGAACAGCCGTATCTTTATCACGGTTTTCCCAGGCCACTGAATAGCGACGCTGCATATGCTGACGCAACGCTGTAGTCCCAACATGGGCCCCCCTGGCCACGCTTGACTTTCTGGCCACATAGTCGACATACGGCTACGTTTACTTCCTCGGGCGGCTTGACGAAAAATTGCCACACACCGCCGAGTAGGAAACTTTGCCCCCGCTACTCCTCACTGGCTGACTGCTACTTCCTCCGTGCACACTGGCACCACTACTGGCCGTGGTGGTAGGCTGCAGTGGAGCTGGTGCTCTACTCTGTGGCCGTTTGCCTCCACTGACACTGCTGCGACCCTGCTGCCTCCTGGCAGCAGCAATGGGAGGCCGTACAGGGACCCATGACACACTCTGGACCTGGCAGCAGCATGAAGAGGCGGTACAGGGGCCCATGGCAGATTAGGGGCCTGGCAGCAGCAATGGGAGGCTCGTAATCTGCCAGCACCCTATGACAAAAAATGTAACACACCAGCAGTGTGAGGAGACCTGAAAGTGGCACATGGCAGAGTGTGGCGATGGAGACAGCAGCAATGGGAGGCCGTACAGGGACCCATGAGAGACTCTGGACCTGGCAGCAGCATGAGGAGGCGGTACAGGGGCCCATGGCAGATTAGGGGCCTGGCAGCAGCAATGGGAGGCCCGTAATCTGCCAGCACCCTATGACAAAAAATTTAACACACCAGCAGTGTGAGGAGACCTGAAAGTGGCACATGGCATGAGACACTGTGGACCTGGCAGCAGCATGAGGAGGCGGTACAGGGGCCCATGGCAGATTAGGGGCCTGGCAGCAGCTATGGGAGGCCCGTAATCTGCCAGCACCCTATGACAAAAAATGGAACACACCAGCAGTGTGAGGAGACCTGAAAGTGGCACATGGCATGAGACACTGTGGACCTGGCAGCAGCATGAGGAGGCGGTACAGGGGCCCATGGCAGATTAGGGGCCTGGCAGCAGCTATGGGAGGCCCGTAATCTGCCAGCACCCTATGACAAAAAATGGAACACACCAGCAGTGTGTGAGGAGACCTGAAAGTGGCACATGGCAGAGTGTGGCGATGGAGACAGCAGCAATGGGAGGCCGTACAGGGACCCATGACACACTCTGGACCTGGCAGCAGCATGAGGAGGCGGTACAGGGGCCCATGGCAGATTAGGGGCCTGGCAGCAGCTATGGGAGGCCCGTAATCTGCCAGCACCCTATGACAAAAAATTGAACACACCAGCAGTGTGAGGAGACCTGAAAGTGGCACATGGCAGAGTGTGGCGATGGAGACAGCAGCAATGGGAGGCCGTACAGGGACCCATGAGAGACTCTGGACCTGGCAGCAGCATGAGGAGGCGGTACAGGGGCCCATGGCAGATTAGGGGCCTGGCAGCAGCAATGGGAGGCCCGTAATCTGCCAGCACCCTATGACAAAAAATGGAACACACCAGCAGTGTGAGGAGACCTGAAAGTGGCACATGGCAGAGTGTGGCGATGGAGACAGCAGCAATGGGAGGCCGTACAGGGACCCATGACACACTCTGGACCTGGCAGCAGCATGAGGAGGCGGTACAGGGGCCCATGACAGATTACGGGCCTGGCAGCAGCATGAGGAGTCGGTAACGGGGGCCCATGGCAGATTACGGGCCTGGCAGCAGCAATGGGAGGCCGTACAGGGACCCATGACACACTCTGGACCTGGCAGCAGCATGAGGAGGCGGTACAGGGGCCCATGACAGATTACGGGCCTGGCAGCAGCATGAGGAGTCGGTACGGGGCCCATGACACACTCTGGACCTGGCAGCAGCATGAGGAGGCGGTACAGGGGCGCATGACAGATTACGAGCCTGGCAGCAGCAACTTGGACAGGAGGACGTTCAGCTTCTGCACCGTCGGGTGCGTGCTCGCAAACTGTTGTCTCTTGGAAACGGATTCCAAGAAAGACTGCTGACGGAATCCGTGAAGAGGAGTAGCAGGAGAAGGAGCATCTGAACGAGCGGAATATGCCAACAAGCGACAACAGGGGCCCATGACAGATTACTGGGCCTGGCAGCAGCATGAGGAGTCGGTACGGGGGCCCATGGCAGATTACGGGCCTGGCAGCAGCTATGGGAGGCCCGTAATCTGCCAGCACCCTATGACAAAAAATGAAACACACCAGCAGTGTGTGAAGAGACCTGAAAGTGGCACATGGCAGAGTGTGGCGATGGAGACAGCAGCAATGGGGAGGCCGTACAGGGACCATGAGAGACTCTGGACCTGGCAGCAGCATGAGGAGGCGGTACAGGGGCCCATGGCAGATTAGGGGCCTGGCAGCAGCTATGGGAGGCCCGTAATCTGCCAGCACCCTATGACAAAAAATGGAACACACCAGCAGTGTGAGGAGACCTGAGACCTGAAAGTGGCACATGGCATGAGACACTGTGGACCTGGCAGCAGCATGAGGAGGCGGTACAGGGGCCCATGGCAGATTAGGGGCCTGGCAGCAGCAATGGGAGGCCCGTAATCTGCCAGCACCCTATGACAAAAAAAATGGAACACACCAGCAGTGTGAGGAGACCTGAAAGTGGCACATGGCAGAGTGTGGCGATGGAGACAGCAGCAATGGGAGGCCGTACAGGGACCCATGAGACACTGTGGACCTGGCAGCAGCATGAGGAGGCGGTACAGGGGCCCATGGCAGATTAGGGGCCTGGCAGCAGCTATGGGAGGCCCGTAATCTGCCAGCACCCTATGACAAAAAATGGAACACACCAGCAGTGTGAGGAGACCTGAAAGTGGCACATGGCAGAGTGTGGCGATGGAGACAGCAGCAATGGGAGGCCGTACAGGGACCCATGAGAGACTGTGGACCTGGCAGCAGCATGAGGAGGCGGTACAGGGGCCCATGGCAGATTAGGGGCCTGGCAGCAGCTATGGGAGGCCCGTAATCTGCCAGCACCCTATGACGAAAAAATTGAACACACCAGCAGTGTGAGGAGACCTGAAAGTGGCACATGGCAGGGGCATGATTCATGGCGGATTTAGTCAGTTGTGTCAGGAACTGGTGGTTTGAAATCCAGACTAATCCACGCCTGATTCATTTTCACAAACGTGAGTCTCTCCACACTTTGGGTGGACAGTCGTGTCCTCCGCGGAGTTACAATACCTCCTGCCGCACTAAACACGCGCTCCGATGCACGCTACTGGCCGGGCATGACAGCCTTTCAAGGGCAAATTCAGCTAGTTGGGGCCAAAGGTCAAGTTTCATTGCCCAGTAGTCAAGGGGATTGTCTACCTCGGTTGGCAGGGTGCTGTCCAAGTAGGCCCAAGCCTGTTGTTTGAGGTCCTGCTCCAGGTCCACCTGATGCTGCTGCTGCTGCTGCGGCTGGTTAGTAGTTTCCTCACTGCGCTGGTGAAGAAAGCTACTCATCATCGACTGCAGACTGAGGCAGCCGCTGCTGGTGGAGCTGCCACTGCTCCTACCACCCCACCCCCCCCCCTGCTGCCATGGCAGCGGAACGCGAGCGCACAGGGCCCACAGTGTCTGAGGATGGACGTTGGCGCACAAAGGCAGAGACCAACTGACTACATAGGTGGTTTTTATAGTACGTTATTTTGGCCTCCCTCTCAGCAGGTGTGAAAAAGGCCACCATTTTTGAACGGTAGCGAGGGTCCAACAAGGTGGACAGCCAAAAGTCATCCCTCTGTCTGATGGTTATTATTCGGGCTGTCGCTACGCAAGCAACCGAGCATGCTATGGGCCATTTGTGCCAAGGAATGCGAGGGACTCCCTGCCTCCATCTCCACAGCATACTGCCACGGTGCGTCTGGGTCCTCTGTCTCCTCCTCCTCCTCCTCTACCAGATGCTCCTGCTCCTCCACTCCTGTCCGCTGAGTGGAAAAACCACCCATTTCACTCAAAATTTCCTGAGCACCAATGTCCTCCTCTACCTCCTCCTCTTCTTCCTGTCCTGCCCCACACAGGGGTCATGTGGCGTTGAGATCTGTGCGCCACGTCTACCGCACCCTGACCAGCCATTGCTAACAGCATTTGTTCCAGGACGTGCAACAGAGGAATGACGTCGTTCATCCCATAGTCCTGCCGACTCACGAATAGCGTGGCCTCCTCAAAGGGCCTGAGCAAGCGGCAGGTGTCACGCATGAGCTGCCAATGGCTGACATCTAAGTTACACAGGGGAGTACCTTTATCCGCTTGTAACATCAGGAAATCGGTGATGGCCTTTCGCTGTTCGTAAGGCGGTCTACCATGTGTAGGGTTGAATTCCACCTTGTTGCAACGTCGCAGATCAGGCGATGCTGTGGAATTCCGTTCTGCCGCTGCAGCTCAAGGAGGGTGTGCTTTGCGGTGTAGGAATGGCTGAAATGCATGCAAAGTTTACGTGACATTTTAAGGATGTCTTGCAGTGGGATGGTGGATTTTAGGAACCGCTTGACAACCAGATTGAACACGTGAGCCATGCATGGCGCATGGCACAAACTTCCTTGACGCAGCACCAGCAGACACCATGTTCCTCCGTTGTCGGTCACATGGCGATTTTCAGTTTGCGCGGAGACAGCAGCATCTGTCGATTTCTCTGTTCATTACACTGAGAAGTTCCACCTGTGTGATACGTTCGCCTGGACCTGGCAGCAGCATGAGGAGGCGGTACAGGGGCCCATGGCAGATTAGGGGCCTGGCAGCAGCTATGGGAGGCCCGTAATCTGCCAGCACCCTATGACAAAAAATGGAACACACCAGCAGTGTGTGAGGAGACCTGAAAGTGGCACATGGCAGAGTGTGGCGATGGAGACAGCAGCAATGGGAGGCCGTACAGGGACCCATGAGAGACTCTGGACCTGGCAGCAGCATGAGGAGGCGGTACGGGGCCCATGGCAGATTAGGGGCCTGGCAGCAGCTATGGAGGCCCGTAATCTGCCAGCACCCTATGACAAAAAATGGAACACACCAGCAGTGTGTGAGGAGACCTGAAAGTGGCACATGGCAGAGTGTGGCGATGGAGACAGCAGCAATGGGAGGCCGTACAGGGACCCATGAGAGACTCTGGACCTGGCAGCAGCATGAGGAGGCGGTACAGGGGCCCATGGCAGATTAGGGGCCTGGCAGCAGCTATGGGAGGCCCGTAATCTGCCAGCACCCTATGACAAAAAATGGAACACACCAGCAGTGTGAGGAGACCTGAAAGTGGCACATGGCAGAGTGTGGCGATGGAGACAGCAGCAATGGGATACAGGGACACATGAGAGACTCTGGACCTGGCAGCAGCATGAGGAGGCGGTACAGGGGCCCATGGCAGATTAGGGGCCTGGCAGCAGCTATGGGAGGCCCGTAATCTGCCAGCACCCTATGACAAAAAATGGAACACACCAGCAGTGTGAGGACCTGAAAGTGGCACATGGCAGAGTGTGGCCAGCAATGGGAGGCCGTACAGGGACCCATGAGAGACACTGGACCTGGCAGCAGCATGAGGAGGCGGTACAGGGGCCCATGGCAGATTAGGGGCCTGGCAGCAGCTATGGGAGGCCCGTAATCTGCCAGCACCCTATGACAAAAAATGGAACACACCAGCAGTGTGTGAGGAGACCTGAAAGTGGCACATGGCAGAGTGTGGCGATGGAGACAGCAGCAATGGGAGGCCGTACAGGGACCCATGAGAGACTCTGGACCTGGCAGCAGCATGAGGAGGCGGTATAGGGGCCCATGGCAGATTAGGGGCCTGGCAGCAGCAATGGGGGAGGCCCGTAATCTGCCAGCACCCTATGACAAAAAATGGAACACACCAGCAGTGTGAGGAGACCTGAAAGTGGCACATGGCAGAGTGTGGCGATGGAGACAGCAGCAATGGGAGGCCGTACAGGGACCCATGAGAGACTCTGGACCTGGCAGCAGCAGAGGAGGCGGTACAGGGGCCCATGGCAGATTAGGGGCCTGGCAGCAGCAATGGGAGGCCCGTAATCTGCCAGCACCCTATGACAAAAAAAATGGAACACACCAGCAGTGTGAGGAGACCTGAAAGTGGCACATGGCAGAGTGTGGCGATGGAGACAGCAGCAATGGGAGGCCGTACAGGGACCCATGAGACACTCTGGACCTGGCAGCAGCATGAGGAGGCGGTACAGGGGCCCATGGCAGATTAGGGGCCTGGCAGCAGCAATGGGAGGCCCGTAATCTGCCAGCACCCTATGACAAAAAATGGAACACACCAGCAGTGTGTGAGGAGACCTGAAAGTGGCACATGGCAGAGTGTGGCGATGGAGACAGCAGCAATGGGAGGCCGTACAGGGACCCATGAGAGACTCTGGACCTGGCAGCAGCATGAGGAGGCGGTACAGGGGCCCATGGCAGATTAGGGGCCTGGCAGCAGCAATGGGAGGCCCGTAATCTGCCAGCACCCTATGACAAAAAATGGAACACACCAGCAGTGTGAGGAGACCTGAAAGTGGCACATGGCAGAGTGTGGCGATGGAGGCAGCAGCAGCAATGGGAGGCCGTACAGGGACCCATGAGAGACTCTGGACCTGGCAGCAGCATGAGGAGGCGGTACAGGGGCCCATGGCAGATTAGGGGCCTGGCAGCAGCTATGGGAGGCCCGTAATCTGCCAGCACCCTATGACAAAAAATGGAACACACCAGCTGTGTGAGGAGACCTGAAAGTGGCACATGGCAGAGTGTGGCGATGGAGACAGCAGCAATGGGAGGCCGTACAGGGACCCATGAGAGACTCTGGGGACCTGGCAGCAGCATGAGGAGGCGGCGGTACAGGGGCCCATGGCAGATTAGGGGCCTGGCAGCAGCAATGGGAGGCCCGTAATCTGCCAGCACCCTATGACAAAAAAATGGAACACACCAGCAGTGTGAGGAGACCTGAAAGTGGCACATGGCAGAGTGTGGCGATGGAGACAGCAGCACTGTGGCAGACAGCAGCAATGGGAGGCCGTACAGGGACCCATGAGAGACACTCTGGACCTGGCAGCAGCATAGCATGAGGAGGGCGGTACAGGGGCCCATGGCAGATTAGGGGCCTGGCAGCAGCAGCAATGGGAGGCCCGTAATCTGCCAGCACCCTATGACAAAAAATGGAACACACCAGCAGTGTGAGGAGACCTGAAAGTGGCACATGGCAGAGTGTGGCGATGGAGACAGCAGCAATGGGAGGCCGTACAGGGACCCATGAGAGACTCTGGACCTGGCAGCAGCAGCATGAGGAGGCGGTACAGGGGCCCATGGCAGATTAGGGGCCTGGCAGCAGCAATGGGAGGCCCGTAATCTGCCAGCACCCTATGACAAAAAAATGGAACACACCAGCAGCAGTGTGAGGAGACCTGAAAGTGGCACATGGCAGAGTGTGGCGATGGAGACAGCAGCAATGGGAGGCCGTACAGGGACCCATGAGACACTCTGGACCTGGCAGCAGCATGAGGAGGCGGGTACGGGGGCCCATGGCAGATTAGGGGCCTGGCAGCAGCAATGGGAGGCCCGTAATCTGCCAGCACCCTATGACAAAAAATGGAACACACAGCAGCAGTGTGAGGAGACCTGAAAGTGGCACATGTTTGGGGCATGATTGATTCATGGCGGATTTAGTCAGTTGTGTCAGGAACTGGTGGTTTGAAATCCAGACTAATCCACGCCTGATTCATTTTCACAAACGTGAGTCTCTCCACACTTTGGGTGGACAGTCGTGTCCTCCGCGGAGTTACAATACCTCCTGCCGCACTAAACACGCGCTCCGATGCCACGCTACTGGCCGGGCATGACAGCCTTTCAAGGGCAAATTCAGCTAGTTGGGGCCAAAGGTCAAGTTTCGTTGCCCAGTAGTCAAGGGGATTGTCTACCTCGGTTGGCAGGGTGCTGTCCAAGTAGGCCC